CTGCGAGAGGAAAGAGAGAGAGAGAGACACTAGACTGAAAGAGGAAAGAGAGAGAGAGAGACAAAGACTGAGAGAGAGGCAGATACAGAGACTAAGAGAGGAAAGAGAGAGAGAGAGAGAGAGACGAGGAAGAAGATTCATCTTGAACTTCACCGTGTCATAAGGATTATTTTCCGGTGTCATGCCTAATTGTCGCCTTTTATGATAATGCTGTTGTAATATTTTCATACTCTGTTATGCATCATGTGTGTCATTATTATAATCACCATTAGAATCAATGTCAGTGTCATTATCGTCATTATCATCACCATATATAATCCTCATTAAAATCAGTGTCATTATCGTCACCATTATAATAATCAGCATTATAAGGATGATCATGATTATCCATATTAGTATCATTATTTTCCATATCATTTTTAGTTATAATTATCCATAGCGTTAATACCCATTACCAACCATACCAATGTAATTAAATCCATGTATGTTATTATCATTATTGGTATAATAATTTCGTCTCCTTTATCATTCTGATTCATTATGAAGAACACTTTGTGAAGAACTGTGTGGTAATGAGAATGTTTCAAGACTGTTATACTTGAACTTTTTCTCACGCTGTTCTTCGTGTGTTAAAGAGTATTATTATTTGTAGATAATAATGATGGTTATTATCATTATCAATGTTGATAATAATGAATCTGCAATGTTGATAAGATGATAGTTATAATTATGATCAGATTAATAATCCTTTTCAATAATAACAATCATTGTCATTATAGAGATAAAGATAATTGCAATGATGATAAGCATAAACCTTTTCGGTGTTTTTTTTTAATTTTTAGTTTTATTGATTATAACACTGATAATGATGAAATGATAATACTAATAGGTGAAAAGTATAATCATACATGAATATGAAGTTACAATAGTTACTAATGATAACAATAATCTAGTTATAATACCGATACGTAATAATTATCATCAGAAAAAAATAACATAATAAGGAAAATGACAATGATAGGCGGTGACAATGAAAACAGCAACAATAAAAATAATGATAAAGATGACGATGATGATATCAACAATAGTAATATTAATGATGAGGATAACAATAGTCATTATAATGATAATGATAATAATAATGATAACAATAATAATGAGAATGATAATAATAATAATAATATTAATAATAATAATAATAGTGATAATGATAATAACAATAATAACAATAATAATAATAATAACAATAATAATAATAACAATAATAATAATACATAATAATAATAACAATAATAATAATAACAATAATAATAATTACAATAATAATAATAACAATAATAATAAATAAAATAATTATAATTACAATAATAATAATAACAATAATAAAATAATAATAACAATGATAATAATAATAACAATAATAATGATAATGATGATGATGATGATGATGATGATAATAAAGATGATAACAATAATAATAAAAAGATGATAGTAATAATAATGGTAATGATAATGATAATAATGATAATAGTAACGATGATGATGATAACTATAATGATGATAATCATAATGAAAATAGTACTGATAATGAAAGTAATGATAATAATAATAATAATGATAATGATAATGATAATGATGATAATAAATATAATAATGATGATGATAATGATGAAAAAAACAATTATACAAAAACTATTATAATAATGATAACGATAAGAATGATGGTATTATTAATAATAACAATAATAATAATAAAGATAATGATAATGATAATGATAACAATAATAATAAAAGTAAAAGAAATAATAATGATATTAATAACAATAAAAAATAACAACGACAATAACAATAACAATAGTAATACTAATGATAAAAATGATTATAGATAATAAAGATAATAATAATAATAATAATAATAATAATAATAATAATAATAATAATAATAATAATAATAATAATAATAATAATAATATAATAATGATAATAAATAAAATATAATAATGATAATAATAATAATAATAATAATGATGATAATGATAATATAGTAATAACGATTATAATAATAATGATAATACAACAACAAAAAATAATAACAATAATAATAGTAATGATAGCAATAATGATAATAACAATGGTAATGATAATAATAACGAAAACAATAGTAATAATGATAATATTATAATAATAATGACAACAATAATGATAATGATTATGAAAATGATGATGATTATAATAATGACAATAATAGAAATAATAAGGATAACACCAATAATGCTTACAATGGTAGCAATAACGACAACAATAACGATAATGGCAATAAAAATGATAATGATAATGATAATGATGATAAAACAATAACAATGATAATGATAATCATAATCATAACAACAACACAACAATAATGATAATAATAATGATTAAAAATGATAATTAATAATGATATTGATAATATTGAACAATAATAATAATGATAATGATAATAATAATAAGAACAGGAATA